AGTGACACTAAACAGGTCTCCGAGACACGTGTGGTATGGTCCAGACTGTTCTCCACAATAACATCCCCAAGAAGACTCTCTAGGTCCAGAGGCAGTTACTGCTAAAACTATGAACAGACAACCAATGTAACATAAATGGACGTCATACAAAGTGATTAAATATATCAAATATTTGTAGTATTTCTTACTTGATTGATCATCTGCTAGAAGCCCGTCGAACATCGAACCAGATTTACAGGACTCTATGTACAACAAAGTCTAATGAATAAAGTAGTTATCAGTTGACGATGATCAAGACTAATTAAAATAACATTTTTGTATTTATATTTGTTTTTAACAGAACATATTTTACTTTTTTATATTTTCGTCTAATATACATTTCATTTAACGTATTGATCAGCTGGTCAGCATACAACAAGTCGTTCGGTAAGCACACGTGTCCGGTAGATCCATGGTCGGTATAATAGATGAAAATGTTGTCATTAGGACCGCTAGAGTAACAAACGTGTTAAATAAGTGTTAATTACAATTTAAATAGTTTTAAAGATTATAAAATATAATAAAGTGGTAAAATAATCAAATGGAATTAAAATAATTTTTTTTTCATCCCAAAACACTAATTTATAGGTATAGACTTGGCCATTAAAAATTATTTCTAAGTATATATTTTATTTTCAATTTTTATGTTAAAAATACTAACAAATATCACCATGAGAAAGTATTACATTAATTTTTTTTTTGCTTTCTTGTAAAATTGTATTCAAATTATTTATATCCACATTACATTTTTACAACTTTGAATTTATATAAAAAGATGTACCTTTCAATTACTCTGCCCGAACCCACTCCTTTTACGCCGCTTTTGTTCCCTTTGAGAACACTCAAAAATACAGTGGTTCTGACGTCCTGCAAATGCCATATAAATGAGAAAAACGAGCATCCTTACCATAAGACTTTAAATGTAAGATTATGAAATTCAATATAAGTAGTAAAGTATAATTTTTTAAAACCTAAAGAAATGTTTTACGACATTTCCTAATTCCGACAATATACATATATACCTAATGGCCCTGACAGCCAACTTATGCCTGCGCTTGGTTTTTTAACAACAAATTCAGAATCTCCTTAAGTGCAATATTTTTATCGAGTTGACGACAAGTAAAGGAAGTATTAGCAAATTATTATATTCTTATTTTTAATCGTATAAAATTGTACTCACCTGACCCCGATAATCGATTTTAATATCTTTGTAAACATCCGAGCCGCCAGGGCGGTTGATCAGCGTTCCAGGAATTGGATTACTAATTTTCGTAAAAGAGACATAAAAAAAAAATGAATAACATAACAATATAACAACGTAGTTTTGAAATGTATATGCAATTAGCCGACTTGTGCCCATGCGTTGGCTCGATTTTAGTGTCAATATAAACTGCATAAAATGTTGATAGTTTACAAAAATTAAGTTTACATTTTTACCTTGTATGGTTTGCAACGTCGTCATACATCATCACAATGATGTTTTCAGCTGGTATTCCGTTTCCTCTGACTATTTGGTATGCGTGTGCCACATCTGCCTGTAGAATAAATTTTTTAGTTCAAATATCAATGAATATAATGTTATTAATTGCAATGAACGTAATACCATTGAGTATATATATTGAGTATATACTCAATGGTAATACACAATTGATATTTTCACATTATTTGAATTTATTTGTTGAAAAAAAAGTAATATAATGTATACAAAATTTGTAATTATTTGACATAAAATGTGTAGTTCATTTATTCTACACACTTAAAACATAATATATAAGCTCGATAGAAATTAATGATTTATATATTGAATACAAATCGTGGTTTCAAAATTGCGTAAATAAATGCCTATTAATAAAAATGATAATACAAAATGTATCGTCCATCTTGATGTGATGTAAAACCATAATTTTATTAGATATCAAAATTATTATAATGTTCAATTTGTTACTTACTTGATGTCTATAGTTGTGCCAGCCATATGACCCAGCTACTAATAAGACGAATTTTTCACCTGATTTCGAATTTTCATCTGCATATCCATATGATCCTATTACCAGCATTAACAATAGCGCCACTTTGACGAATCCTAAAATAAAATAATATAATAACTCGAATGATTAAATAATAATAAAAGATACAAATTTCTATCGTAGTGAAATTGATTTTATTTTAATTGAATTGATTTTATCTATAAATTCAATTTAACTAGTTCATTGTACAAGTGGCGTCAAACACAATGCCTAAGTTAACAAATAAAATTATATTTTAATTTTAAATATAAAATATTAAAAAGTATCGAAGCTGATAATTAGTTCAATATATTATAAAATCTTACCCAGTGCGCCCATTTTATTAAAACTTGTTTTTTTTTTGAGTAAGAAAAAAATAATTATGGTAGTGCGTTTTACAGTATACTAGTGAGCATATTTGTATCAAGGCGCTGAAAACAAATTAGTTAAGCATATAGGTCGATTAATACCATATATAGTTAATTGGTTAATTAAAGCGGAGATTTTAATTTTATTAGTATACTTAAGTGCATAGTAATCCTACCAAATTGTGTAGTGCTTGGTAAACAAAATTCATATTATTTTTTTTAATTAAAAGATAAAATAAGATACAGGTAAGTCAGGGTTTACCAGTAACGAACGAGAAGGGTCGTAGAGGACACAGAGTTTTATTAAGGAAAACGTATTACGGCAGAAGTATTACAACATTTTAAATATTTTTAAACTCCATATTATGTGACCGTCTATGGGAAAAGGGACCTTTTTTCCTGGTACAAATTGTCCAGCAGATTAAAAAGTAACTATTTATAAACTAATAACTTATTAGGAGTTCCAACTTGAAAACTTCATAACTTTTGAAACGATATATTATTGTGATTGAGAAACAACTGTAATCAGTAGCTGTTACCTACATTAGTAAAGATCTTTATTATTTTACAAGCACTCGGTGCTAATGATATTATGTAGCTTATACTTAGTAGTAAATTATTAACATTAATCCATCTTTCCAGCACTAAAAATACGTCCAAAACGTTGTTAATTCTAGACTCACTTAAATTAAATAGTACCCTGGTTAAAATATTTAATTGTTTAATAAATTATCATAGTGATTAAACTTTGTACTAAATTTAATACATTATCCAGCTGGGTATTTTTTTAAAATATTTTATAATAATTTATTTGTCTAAAGTTAGGTTTTAACAAAATTATGTTTTTCTAAATATTATTAAAATAATGAAAACAGTTCGGAACGAGCTCTAGCCAAATTGTATATTTTTTTTTTAAGTCGACAATGAATGAATCATTTAGACAAGCTATTAAATTTAATGATACAAATATGATATTTAGTAACAATTTTTAACAGGCCATAAAGGCCCAACGCTGCCATCATGCGATTACTTACGTTATTAATAGTATATTTAAAAAAAATGTTGTTAACAATATATGTTGTAAAACATTAATTTCCTGTCAAACTATAATAATTATAAGTATTTAAAATGTTTTGCCAAATCGCAAGTTTGTTACCTCGGTTAACATTTATTAACTATGATGGTAGTTGGAAACTGTGTGGATGTAAAGAAAAAGTTTTAATGAACGGGTTGCCCTTAATTTATTATAAAATACCAACGACTGGAACCCCGACGGTATGTTGATATATACAACAGAATGTATACATAATTATATTGAATACTCTTTAATTTCCTATACGTGAAATAAGAATGTTCTTTGTGTTTGTAATTTACTTAAAAGAGTTTGAATGTAGAAGAGCGGTTTCCAAAAGCCAAAAACTAATTTGGTTCAAAGGAACTAGTTGCTTTAAAATGATTTAGGCTGTCCCTACCTGGGTTAAATTATACTCATTTCCATCCCCCTAAGATGGGGATGGACTAAATCGTGTATCTACTGTAATCGTCGTTTATTGGGACACTTGTCTACTTATAATAGACACTTTATCGTTTTGACACGGCCTGCGGCCCCCGAACCTTCATATCAGCAACCCGATGTTCGTTTATCGGCGTGTCCACTTCTTTTTTCAGTTGTCCCCCGCTAGATTCTGTATTTTAATTTAAATATAATATTTACGTACAACGGCTCAGTCTTGAATCTTTTTTACACGATTTCCGATGCCCGGTGGATCGTTTGTTTATCATTATAATATAACACAAGTTAAATCGTGTACGCACGTCCGCGTTATCTCGGTTAAGTTTTATCCGATTTTTTTTATTAAGTATAAGCGATTGTAATTTAAATTATGGAGTACAAACTATTGAAACACGAATCATCGACCATTTTAACTAAATTTAATAAGAAATTGATTATGTGTTATTTGGGTCACTATATTTTTGCAAAAAAAAAATCAGTACAGTGAGGTCAGGCCATAGTGGGGACGTGGGTGGGGGGGCGTCAGAGGTTTACAGGAATTATTACAACTGAAAGTAATAAAACCACTTTCGAATATACGCTTCGGTGCGAATCAGTTTTTAGTATTTTCAAACCAGTAAAGTCCAAACTAAGCACAGTATAATCCAGCACAGTTAGAAAGAATTAAAGTGAAGAGCCGTGTTTAAATAAAAATTAGTACCTATCAAAGCGTTTATTTGAAAGTGATTTTATCCGGGAGGACTAGTGCTGTAGAGTCGAGGCATAATGGAATCAAAGCATACAGGGGACGAAGAGGTCACAAGTCTACAGGAATTATTATTAATAAAAGTGATACAATTATTTTCAAATAAACGCTTTGTTGCTAATTTGGACTTTACTGGTTTGAAAATACTAAAAATTGATTCGCATCGAAGCGTTTATTCGAAAGTGATTTTATTACTTCCAGTTGTAATAATTCCTATAAACCTTTGACCTCCGCGTCTCCACTATGTCCTGAACCCACTTGTAGTGGCTTTTTTAACAATATAGTTGGACTAGGTAGATATTAAAATTATTAAATAAAAACAATCTTAATTTATAATAATGTATGCAAATTTTATTTTATCACCTAATTATGTTTCCATTTTAAATTGCAAATAACCTACTTATTAAATGTTGTATCAATATGTTAAAAAATTTTTTTGGGATTATTGATCAAGCGCATATAATGTCTACAAACTCCAGTAGCTTTTTGTCTAAACTGTTGTCGACGATACAAATATTTGCCAAGAAAGTCAATTTGTCCAAAGCGTACGTATTCTGAAACCGAGTAAAAATAAATTATAAACAAATCACAATAAAAATTAATTTTTGTGTAACGTTTGAACGAACTCCACATATATATTCAGTATTACCTTGGGTATTGAAAAACACTTTTCGGAAATATTATCCAATATATTTCTGTAGCATGGGAATGCGTTCATGGTAAGTTGCAACCGGGCGGTTTTTTCATACTCACCAATTTCGGCAGCAAGTTCCGGTGTTTCACTTATCAATTTTGTATAGATTGTACGAAGAACGTAGTCAATAAATGTTTTAGTCTATTTGATAAATAACACAACTTAATACAATTAATTATTACAGTTATTACAGCCAAGAAACCTTAAGAAGCAAATTCATGTCATGTAAGCGAGAACACATGGAGGTTCGTTGAGTTACCCTATCGCCTTTTATAAAGAGGACGTCATACCGCCTATTTATTAAGGAGTTGGGTATAGACAATTTTTTCTTTACTTTTTTAAGTGCTTGTATTTAAAGTAAATTAATTTCTTCTAAAAAACCGACGAGAGAACCTAGTTAAAATTCTTATTTTAACAATATCAATTTTTTTTTTCATGACGATTATTTTTGAAAATTATGACATTCTCTTAAATGTAGTTTTATTTAGCAGATAAATTATGATAATGTAAGATTGTTTATATTGAGAGCATACGATTTGGCTATAATAACGGTGTTTTTTTTTAATGTGAAAACACTTGATCACTGTTATGAACGTGATAAAAAACGCTTACTTTGCTGTAAAGATGTAATTCTTCCTTTAGAAGTTTTTGTTTGTTCAAGTCGGTAGTCGACGATAGTTCATCACGGACAGATTTTTCCCATATGTCTCGACTGGACACGACAGACTTTAAAAGTAATAATAAACGTCATTTTAGTGCTAAAAGGGTGAAATTTTATAAATAGCTAAGCTCAACTATATTAGCAAATCTACAAAATATTTTTAAGATTAAACTCACCCCGCTCTGGTATGTTGTAGGCGAATACTTAACCGATGATTTATTTGCGGAATGACCAACAAATGAAGATAGTTCATCAAAGCCCACACGCCAGTCGCCATACACCATAACGTTACTTTCGTATACGGCTGTCCTAACCGTTTGGAATTGTTTGAATACCGATCTCGAATCGTCCACTATAGTATGCTAAAAAAATGAATCATTATATAATTAAAGCTGGTCGGTAACTAGATATTTATCAAAATCTAGTAACACTGTAAAATGAATTTTAACTGTGTTTCCATTTTTAGCTTGTAACTAAACGAGTTATTATATAAATTCTATGATCATTTATACATTAAGCCATCAATATAAAATAACCAAAAATATTTCCTACTAAGTATATGCATATTCACATTTTCAGCTATAATTATGAAATAGTTTGAGACATTTTTTGATCAGAATTCTAACCAAAGGACATATCTTTAAATTTTAAGCGCGATACTATAAATTTGTTTATTTTTAATTATTTTATATTATTTTTTTTTTAATATTTTCTCCTTAAGATAGGAAGATTTTGATAAAAAAAACTAATATTTTAAAAAAATCCTTTCTTAAAAAAAAGTCTTTTCGATAATTTACCATCTCTAAGTATGCTAAATTTATAATTAATAATTTGATGATAGTTTAACAACTATAAAAATGTTTTGCCGGACGAACTTAGTTTGGGTGTATAGACATTTGAAATTTGGTTTAGTATTAGTGGGTGATACATACATTTCATAATTCTTAACTCAATGAATTTGGACTTGTGCGAATAGAGCCCAGGCTTTTCTTTTTAGTCAACAATTAAAGATGTTTAACGATATTTAAAATTGTAGTTATATTTCGGTTGTTTTCAAAGTAACTGACATTTTAAAAAAAATGTGCTACAATTAATTGGTAAATTGTTGATGTAGTAAAATTATTTTCTACTTTTTAGTCCTTTTAAAGGTACTTAATAATTGGATTACTAAATTAATTTTGTAAGATTTGAAAAAACATGCAATTTTAATGAAATGGCCCCCATATTTGACCTTCCGGCATTTGCGACCTGGATGTCTGAGTCCCAATTATATTACAGGATATTTTATTGCCATCCAAAATGTGTATCTGAAGTTTCAGCCTTCAACGACATCGGGAAGTGGGTTAAACTAATTATGCAAGATTTTAAAATTACTCGTACGTGTTATCGAGTTAAAGAAATAAATGTAAAAAGAAGGGTGTCCGGTAAACTAGATTTGTACCCAAAATTGTAAAACCAGGCATCAATTTATAGAGTTTTTAAAATTTTAAACAACATAGCAAAATCGTTTCTTGATTTCACATAGAATGACCCTTGGAGGGATTTTTTATCAATTACATTGTCCAAGTCTTCCATCCAAGTGACACTAAATAGATCTCCGAGACACGTGTAGTATTCTCCAGACTCTTTTTCACAATAACATCCCCAAGAGGATTCTCCAGGTCCAGAGGCAGTTACTGCTAAAACTATAAATAGACAACAAATGAAAGAAAAATAGACGTCATTTAAAGTTATTAAATATATCAAATATATGTTGTATATCTTACCTCCTTGATCATCTGCTAGAAGCCCGTCGAACATGGAACCAGATTCACAGGCCTCTATGTATAACAACATCTAATGAATAAAGTAGTTATCAGTTGACAATGATCAGGACAGAAAAAATATTATTTTCGTATTTATATTTGTTATTTAACAGGACATATTTTACTTTTTTATATTTTCGTCTAATATACATTTCATTTAACTCATTGATCAGCTCGTCAGCATACAACGAGCCGTTCGGTAAGAACACAACTCCGGTAGCTCCATGGTCAGTAAAAAAGATGAAAATGTTGTCATGAGGACCGCTTGAGTAACAAACCAGTTAAAAAAATATAAATTACAATATAAATTGGCGACTTGTTCAGTGAAAACCATATCTAAGTATATATTTTATTTTATAAGTTTTTATTTTCAATATTCAAAATGCTAATAAATATCACCACAAGAATGCATTACATGAATTATTTTTTTTGTTTTCTTGTGAAATTGTATTCAAATTATTTATATCCTACACATTAAATTTTCGCTATTTTAAAATTTATATTAAAAGACGTACCTTTCGATCACTCTGCCCGACCCCAGTCCTTTTACGCCGCTTTTGTCCCCTTTGAGAACACTAAAAAATACTTCAGTGCTGATGTTCTGCAAGTGCCATGTAAATGAGGTAAACGAGCATCATTAGCATAAGACATTAATTTAATATTATAAAATTTTATGAATAAAGTGATGAAGTAATTTATTTCTAAAACTAAGAGAAAAAAAGACCCTGTTTTATAGTATTATTGGTGTTAAAGTACCCTTAAGTTTCCTCTACCGTACAACGTACGAAAGAAGACATCATAATAATTACTTAACAAAATATGTATGGAAGACCAAATATACTACCGTTTAGCAGAAGCAAGAGAATAGAATGGTCTGGACACGTTTGGAGGGCAGATGGAAAAACTATAAGACGAGTCACAGAAGGAACAATTTTGAAGAAAAGACCTCTAGAAAGGCCTTGAACAAGGTGGAAGGACGTAGTGAAAAAAGATCTAGCATGATCCACGAAAATGTGCAAATGATAGGGACCGATGGAATGAAATAGTGGTGGCAGCGATGGGCATACATGGCCTGCTAAGTTGTTAATAAGAAGAAGAAAGTACCCTTAAGAGGACACTACCCACCCGTATTTATCCACGAAAAATGGTTTTGCGGGGGACAAGAATGCGAGGGCGGTATTTAGACAAGCCGTATACAATTTTTACAACGGATAAAGATAAACCTAATTTATGGGGTATCGTCTTTAGTTTTTCGATAACTTAAGCACAATCAAAATTATTTATTCGTAGATATTCATTATTTTTTTCTCTTTTAATTTGTTTATAAAAAAATACTAAGTATAGATATCAAAAAAATTAAAACGCTACTCCATGGATAAAGTTCTTCTCTATGCATTGTAAAAATGTAATAAATTTATAAATTGTGTATTCGCGCGGATAAAAATAATACTATACTCCACTTTCCCCCTGCCCAAAACTTGAAACTTAAAAAATAGTTATCTAAAACTGATTATCGACCAGTCAAAATGTTTAGTACATTATTCTCAATTTAAAATCTTAAAGAAATGTATCCGTGACCATTGAAGTTTCAAAAGTTGCTATCAAAAAAACTGAGTTGAAATCTCGGTAGAAACAAAATAAATTGTGAGAAATTGAGATTACCTTGTATAAAACACTATTTAAAGAAAAAATTATATTTATTTTTAAACCAGTGAGATATTGAGTGGCTCACGATAAGTAGATCACCCTGTATACCTAATGGCACGAAACAGCCAACTTATGACTACGCTTGGTTTTTTAATAACAAATTCAGAACCCTTTTAAGTGCAATATTATTATCGAGTTGTCGACTATTAAATGAAGTATTACCAAATGATTATATTCTTATTTTTAATCGTATGAAATTGTACTCACCTGACCCCGATAATCGATTTTAATATCTTTGTATACATCCGAGCCGCCAGGGCGGTTGATCAGCGTTCCAGGAATTGGATTACTAATTTTTGTACAACAGTTATGAAAAATAAATTAATAAAATAACAGTATAACAACGTAATTTCTAGATGTGTATGCAATTAGTCGACTTGTAGCATGCGTTGGCTCGATTTTAGTATTAATATAAACTACACAAAATGTTCATAGCTTACAAAAACTAACTTTATATTTTTACCTTTTATCGTGTGCAACATCGTCATACATCATCACGATGATGTTATTTGCTGGTATTCCGTTTCCTCTAACTACTTGGTATGCGTGTGCAACATCTGCCTGTGTAATAGATTATGACTTAAAAAAATCAATGAATATAATATTGTTTATTGCAATAAACGTAATACACAATTAATATTTTCGAATTATTTGACTTTTTTGTTGAAAACAAAAATAATTTAATGTATACAAAATTTGTAGATAATTTATGTTACACGCTTATAACATAAAATATTATAAGTTAATGATTTTTGTATTGAATATTATTCGTTGTTTCAAAATGCGTAAATTAATAGTATTGAGTATAAACAAAAATGATAATATAAAATGTTCCGCCCATCTTGATTTTATGTAAAACAATACTTTTAAAATGGCAATCAAATAGTTCTATTTTATTTGATGTCAAAATTATCAAAATTACTTACTTGATGTCTATAGTTTTCCCAGCCCCATGATCCAGCAACTAATAAGACGAATTTTTCACCCGATTTCGAATTTTCATTAGAGTTATCATCTGCATATCCATATGAACCTATTACCAGCATTAAAAATAGCGCTACTTTGCCGAATCCTGAAATAAAAAATAATAATAACTCGAATGATTGAATGAAATATAAGATAAAAATGTCTGTCTAAATAAAATAATTTGTATTTTAATGAATTGTTTTTCTCTGTAAATTCAATTTGTAACAGCGCCGTCAAACGCAATGCTTAAGTTAACAAATATAAGTATATATTAATTTTATAAGTAAAATATTAAAAAGTATGGAAGCAGATAATTAACTCAATATATTATAAAATCTTACCTATTGCGCCCATTTTATTAAAAAATGTTTTTTTGTAGCAAGAAAAAAATAAATATGGTAGTGTGTTTACAGTATACTAGTGAGCATTCTAGTATCAAGACGCTAAAAAAAAATTAATAAAGTATATACATTAATAATAACTATATATATATATATAGGTACTTGGTTAATGCATGGTTAATCATAACAACCCACTTGACACTTTTCGGTACACGTTCTATATGTTAACCAAAAATTTAAATATAATTAGAATATTTAAGTGTATGAAATTTTGTATTGCTTGGCAAACAAAATTCATATTATTTTTTTTTAAATTAAAAGATAAAACAGATGAGTCAGGGTTTATCAGTTACGAACAAGTGGTGTCGTTGATGACACAGATATTTTGAAATAGTTAATTAAGTGTGATAAAATCGCTTTCATACAAAACTATTAATATATAATAAATATTTATTATAATATATATAAAAAAAACTATACTTACTATATAAGAAATTAGTAATTATTAAATCGGCAATGAATTTGTTTATAATATTGTTGTAAGGTAGTTGTTCTCATTAACCCTTTCTTTACTGACATCCTCGTATGAGATATTAATTTTAAAAATCAAATCAAATATTAACAACGTACTATCATTATCAAAAATGTCTTTAAACACAAGTTCTAGTATAGATTGGTGATAAAAAAATCGACACACCTATATTGAAAATCAATATCTCTCCGATACGTAAAAAAATTGTTGATTTGTTTACACTGTCGGGTATGATTTCTATGTTACTGAAATAATAATTATGGTCTATTATAATTAGACCGTTTAAATATTTAAAAACTCTATATGTGAGTATCCATGGAAAAAAGGAGCAAATTATCCAAAAGGTCTAAAACCAACATTTTACTAACTAATAACTTATTAGGAGTTGAAACTTGGAAACCCTTTTGAAAGGGTAGAGATATCATTATAATCGAGACGACATTGTTACGAGCAGCTAATCGACTATCAAAAAATGGAAAAATCTGGTATTTTAAAATGGAAAATAAGATCCCTTTCCCATTGACGGTTACATGTATGAAGCTCGCAAAACATTTAAACGTTTTCACTTATTTCAGATTATGACAATGATGACAAAAAAATTGGGGTGTCTATAAAGAAAAACAATAATGTAAAATAATAAATTTAATTTTTTTTTATTATTTTTTTTTACGTTAAGAATCTTACCTAATGATGTTATATTTCTGTTGTATCATGTTGATGTGCTACTAGTTTATGGTTTCTTCTGTATGCCTATTATAATTGAATCGGTCATTTCAAAAACGACATCAGTCACCGATTTTTTAAAAATGACTTTGTCAAATTTGATAATTATATACGTAGTTACGTATTCTGTGTAAAAATTACATTTTTCAGATTCATGATATTTGTTAGAAATATTTTAATTTGATATTTATATTTAATATTTAATAAAAAGACCATAATGACCTACAAAAACTTATAAAAAAGCTAGTGGACGTAAGTAATTAACACATTGAGATAAATTCAGAAAAGAGTACCCTCTCCCCTCCCATTTTTTTTGTAAAAATTATATTAATTTCTGTAAATTAACTACTTGTATAATATCATAATATACAAGTAGTATTATTGTTTTCATTAATTATCAGATTTAGTTTCTAGTCCGTGCTGCAATAATAGAATACATGCGACGTGAGGCCAGGTCAGGTTAATTCATAATTAAATCTTAATTTGAGCATTAAGGTCAATAACCCTTACTGATAAAACTAATCCTCAACCTTGTTTTCGCTTTTAAATATAGAATTACCCATTCTCCTACCAGTCTTTTTGATTCATTCTCAATCCTACAACCTTGTTAAAGTATTTTTTCAGTTTGCAAATAATAAACGTCTATATTACTATATTTTATCTCGTGGTTGTCGCATATTTAGAATACAATACAAGTTATATAACTAAAGAGTTTGGACTAAAAATGTCAAAAAATGTTGACTGTTAAAGATTGTAAATATTAATAAATACTTACATTATTAATAAAATATTTAAACATAATTTTGTTAACAACATATGTTGTAAAACATTAATTTCTAGTCAAAATATAATAATTCAGTAAGGACGGATCCAGAGGGGGGGACTGGGGGCAAGTGCCACCCCCGTGGTCAAAAAATAATATTAAAAATATTAGTATCGAAATCTGTGAATCGTCAATAGTTTATTAAGGATGAAGCCGTTAAAGAACAAATTTGTTCTTTCCCCAAGACCCCCCTCACATACACCTATGCTCAGCTATAATAAATCATTTCTCCTATAAAGTGCCCCGACCGTAAATAAATCCGCTGGATTCGCCCTTGTACCCCCTTGTAATTTATTAACACTGAGGGTAATTGAGAAACTGTGTCCGTGTAAAGATAAAGTCTTAACGAACGCTTGGCTCTTAATTAACTACCGACTGAGACCCGGCCGGTGCGAAATTATATAAAACTAAATGTATACACAATTTTTTTTCCATTAAAATAAACGATTAAAATATTTTATTATAAATTCCGGGGTCGAGCGAAGTGGAAAACATTACAATTATACCATAAATATTATTGTGTATTGCAGAACTTATTGTTCAGATGTAGGTACATATTACTATCTGTTCTTTCGAACGTTATAACCGAGTGCGCCGGCTAATATTATACTTTGTACGCAGACGAGGGTTACATGTTCTACACAAAACAACCCCTCTCGGATTCGACGCTTTGTATTTGTAAAGGGATCAATAATAACGCGCTCTCGCGCCACTCGCCCCGACTATAGGCACTGCAGCACAGTGTTAGCCAACATTTTCGGGAGGAAGACGTCCCATCCATACTCAACATCGCGTCCGGCCATCTTTCACCATGCAAGTACCGCTGCACAATGTAAGTATGAACATGATATCAATATTTATGCATGTATGTGGGTATGTTATGTATGATAATATACCGGTTGTAGTGTTATATTCGGAATAATATAAATAACAGTATTAGATACCGAGTTATCTTGTTACTAATTAAAAGTTTAAAATCCATCATAATTGTGTTGAAGCTGTTAAACGTATGAATGACATTTCACACATTCTGATATGGTAATTTTAAGAATAAAAATAAAATTAAAGAAACATAGACTAAGATAATACCTATCGAATTCGAAATTACAATTAAGTAAACTAAAAAACTCAGAAGTCGTCAATTTTTTAGATTTAGTCAATTTTTTTTTATTGATAGCTGTTTTACAGCAACATGACATTTTTGCAATTTGTAGTATAACATCGTGCATCTTTTAATAATTATTTTACAAAATATACCAATTACCATTATATTGTTACTGTAATAATGCTAATTGTAACTTTATTATAAAGCTCGTGCTTATCATTAGACTATAAAAAGTTTAATAGCTGTCCTTAAACTGTTGTATTAATTTATAAAGGTGATAATATAATTTTTGACATATGTACAAGGGCATCCGTAGGGGATGGAGTGGGCGCATTAATTTTCATTAAAAAACAAAAATACTATGTATTTTTAAAAATAATATTATGATAAGTAAATTGTTTAGGTATTATATTATTATGTTACATGTTTACACTTACTAACTGAACACACGATTTTTTGGAATATTGTATATATATTTTTTAACTTGCAAAAAAGCTAGGTGGGATGTTGCCCCCTCTCCTATCAATCTCTGCAGACGCCCTTGTATCATTTAGTACTACAAAAATATATTGTATTTGTATTGTTACTAAACTACGAATCGCACTTATTGCTTACTGTATGCAATAACCAAGAGTTCGATAATGCATTTACATATTATTTACTAAACTGGGTATATAACAATTATGTACCAGTATCTCATTGTATTAAATAATTATTTGAACTAAAACAAATTTCAAACAAAATTGTTATACTGTTATTTTGGATTGGGGGTGACAGTCCAATATGGTTTTCCCTGGTGACATAGATGGTTTTTAGAAGTGCCCACAGTATAGTTAATTGCCTACTGCCTAGAGTCTACACCACTTTACAAAACATAAAATGTATAAATTCTTTTAAACCGTCACTCTTCATTAGTGGTTTTTCTGTACATCAATAGCACTTCTGATCTAGCCAACATAAACTATAAACATCACTTACAATACCTAGGATTTTTTGCAACTTCATATCCAATTTATACTGTAGTCGCGTTCTTATCTTTCTCACTTTGAATACTGGCATAGTTCCGTAATACTCCTCTATCTGTTACTTAAGCTTTACTATGGATTCTAAACTTTTGGAGCCCTTAAGTTCAAACTCACTTGAAACTTTTCTGTTTCATTGTAAATTGTTCAATACTTTGTATTTCCTCTGTGGCACACGAACACCCTACCTTCTTCTTATTATTAAATTGCAAATCCTTAGTCCGTTTTAAATTAGATTCCTGTTTATTTCTCTTTAGTTTCTGACGTTATTCTGTTCGTGAAAAATCAAATCTTATTAAGATGAAACGTACCAGCTTGGCTGCATTAGGGTGAGGCATCCCCCACTATCGAAATTAAGCTCTGTATTCATCATTAGTTCTCTGGCACCCTTCCTCTACAGCCGCTAGTATAATGATTAAACGGGTACAAAGAGAATTCCTTCGACTCATTGCTTTTAAAAATAATATCCTTCTCATGATTATTCCCCGGTACTTCTATCCCTCTTCCTTGACACTCTGACTGTCCGCCGACAAGCGGAAAACATTTCTTTTATTTATAATCTCCTTAATAATAAAATGTATTGTCCTGTTCTTTTGATTTTCATTAACTTTCGCATTCCATCGTTCAGTTTACGCTCACGTACACCTTTCCTATTCCCATTTTCTTACTATAACGACAACGCGTATGCTCCTTTGTCTCGTCTTATTTATCATCTTGCCAACGAAGATCCCTTTCTCTTAATTCAATAGCCAAGGTTCATTCGAGTATCTTCTTCTCCAGCTCTTATTTCAATAATGACTTTAGCGGTATACACTGTCAATAAATATTAATACTAATGTGACAACTCTACGTAAATAATATTTTGCCATGCAATATGCTTAATTATGTACAAAATTAAATTTAATTGTATTTGGGTGTCTGTTATATTAAAATAATATAAATTAAGACATCCGTGGTCGTTTGCTAGGGTAAAAATTACTATTAAAAGCTCATTTCTCTCTCATCTTACAATTTCCTCCCTAATGTATACCTCTTATCGCTGTTAAATTAGTGATAGTGTCCAAACACATCCTAGCATCCTCACATCTCCTAGCTAGCTAAATAAATTCTTGCTGTTCTTTTATTTCATATATCCACACTTGTATCCTCCGTCTTCGGCCTCCTCCACTAATTGTTCCTCTTTCTGGACCCAATCATTCACGCCCTAACTCGTTCCACCGTACGCTCTTCATGTAGTATAACGCATTATTATGATTTTTGTCTTATATTTACTTATTGTTCTGTATCTGTAACATCAGTGGACTAATTCTTTTACATTTTCTCCATCAAATTCTAATAATGTTCACTTTTTCTGTTTCATCCTTTGCTCCAGAATGTTCGGCTATATGTATAAAACGGTAAAATTCTTATGGGTTTAAAACACAGGTATCATCCGCAACGAATACGCGGATCACTCTACATTAAACACCTGACATTACATTTATCATTGTCCTATAAGAATCCCTTTTACTGATTTTTACCCACATATCAATAATTTCACCTATTAAATGAGAAATGGAAAAATGTACCCGCTTTATACCGTTTGATATGTCCTTCTATTTCTTTACATACATAGTTTCATGATCTATTCCTTTTTATCATTATTGTAGTTTTTCACTTATATCTTTGCATTGGTCATGACAGGCCATCATTAAGATATGGCCCTTCATTAATATTTTCTTAAATAATACTCCGATTTAAATCTGTCACCACGAATTTCTCAAATGTGACGTATCTTCCTTTTTCGCCAATTAGGACTAAAAAAAAAATCCTTCACACTCCTTTTTTTTTAGTTCATATTAACCCGTTTAGTATCGCTTTTATTTTAGAATCGTCACATTTTTTCTCATAACATTAATTTAAGTTTATTTAATTTCTTCCGACTTCATTATCCAATCATTATATATATATTTTATCTACTTAACTAATTATTACTATATAAGCTCCTACATTTTATCAATTTATATATTTTATATTTATATTATCTATATCATTTATTGTAGTATTTGTTGTTGTTATGGTATCTATTTATCTTGTTAGTGTTGGATTTAAACCATACGAAAATAATAATAATAATTTCATTTCTGAAGATTTTACTATACGAATTAATTGGACTTGTGTATATTGTAATATATACGTCTTGTTAATATTTTGTAATTTACTAATTATACACTTGTAATGTTATGTGATTTTGGAGTTATATACTTATTAGTTATTAAGAATTCTCAATAAAAAAAAAATAACACTAAATCCCAAAGTTTGACCTTTTTTTAAACAATACTTAACTAAAATGGAATTCGTTCGTTGAATCTGAATCTGGCTTTAACATTTCTCTTTCATGTTGATTTGTTTTTTAATCGGCTTCGTAGTTACAATTATTTCCAAACTAATAAACAGAATTTTTTGAATTTCTTGTGTTGAAAAATTGTTCTGCATGAACTCCGAAGACCAGTTCTGTTTCAAAAATAAAAATAAGACAAAAAACTCAATTTTAAATAATTTTAAACAATTTATCAAAAAGAATAGAACACGCTAAAAATCACAAAATCATGTTTTCTACTTATTTGAAAGTGATTTAAAAATAAACTTGCTAGAAAAAATCTAAGGCCAGATTCGGATTCAAAGAAAAAATATGTATTTTTTGGTCTTAATTCAAAAATGTACACTGTAAACAAAAGTAGTTCCTGAGTTTTTAAACATATTTTTAAAAGGTAGTATAAAGAACATTTAGTAGTAATAAAAGTGTAGGATCAAGTAGACTGTAGGGTATAGGTAAACCATTACAGTTACAATGTTGTAAAAGTGTAAATGTAATTAATTATAGAGAAAACAGCCATTATTGTCTTTTACTGATATTTAACAGTTCATTAACATTTTACGATTAAAAGTTTTCGAATAAACATTATTACTCGTAGCTGGTTTTTAGTTGCCAATAACCTGCATTTACATTTGTACCGTTTCCAGCTATTGATCTTATTTTACCCCTCTAAACAAGGGTGCCTTTGTCTGTTTTATGGGGAGTATTTTTTAATCCCCGCCGTTGCACGCATAAACAAGTAATGGTACAGCCAAAGAGTCTGCAATGTATTGATCGTTTCCTCGCCCTGCGGTATACCATCCTGTCGCTATGGTGACTGGCGTCGGTGTAGCACGGTCGATACTGCTTGAAGCAGGGGTTCTTAAACATAACTGTGACCGCTAACCGTAGTATTCCAAGCATAAATATAATAACTTGACAAAATGTATTAGTTCATATCTGACACACGGACAGTATTTAAATGAAATTCAAATAATTATTAAATATATCAATTAATTTATGGGCCCTGGCCGTGTATATTTATTAAATATACAAAGGCAAGATTTCAGAATAACAGTTTTAATAAATTTCGACCATGTCTATTAATTTCTATGTTACTTCGTGAAATAAGCTTCAGGGGTTTTCAGGGGTTTTCAGGTTTTTAATGTATACAGTTTTTCTGATAATAGAGAAAGCCTGGATAAAGTCTTCTTCTTTTAAGCGAAAAGAATTGTAGTCGGACTACATTATGATGCTTCATCATTTTTTCCGTATAGTATGTTTTTCAACAAAAACTAAAACTACAACCGGGTCCCTTTAATAATACATTATTTAAATAATAAATACATTATAATAAATACATTATTTATTTTTATTCGAACGAATTAAAGTAAAGAAAAAATTATTTTAAAAACAAATTAGGTAGGTATTTGAAACAATCGAGTAATAAGAGAAATATGTTATCACAAACAAATGGACTTCAAAAAATATTGTTTGAAATTTTTAATAATATAATATAATAAATATTAAAATTATATACTTTTGCTTACTATTTGTAAGCACTACTTTATTTTGTAAGATTTTATTGTTATTTAATATTGATAAAATAGACAATCTCTGAACATTACATTTTCCCTACAACTTACTCATTTATGCAAATTTCCTCATTGTGACAATTACTAAAATACTAACCCTAACTTACTTAAAAACATGATCTTGCTATAAGTAAGACTAAATAATGAGTGGTATGGTTTTTATACTCGACATCCACCCCAGTTAGTTGTTTGGATTGTTAGATCTATCAGTAAGCTGAGTTAATATTCCACATATATTACTTTACCCTTTCTTGTCTTTCTCCACTCTATTCCCTTCTATCCCTTCACTCTTCGCCCGTACCATTTTCCCACCTTATCTTTCTCCTCTAGCGATCACACAAGTTCGATCACGCACATTTTTTTTTTTTTTTACTTCCAGGCTAAAAACATTATCACGTTAATAAAAATATCAACGGTTATACTAATGAATATGCAGGTTTCAGTCACTTTTAAATATATACACATATATATATATATATATATATATATATATATTATTACAGTTACTCTTTTGGATTATTTGTGTGTCGGTTGTGTTGGGACATTCGTTGGATCCTAAACAAGGAAAGAAGTACAATATTCTAGCTTTCTTCCCAGATGAAGACAGGAGCCATTTCATTGGTTTTACGCCATTGCTGCAGGATTTAGCCGCTAAGGGTCATAACTTGACTATTGTTTCACCGTATTCCATAGGAAAAACTCGTGTTCCTCATCACCACATCCAAGTGGAACACAATCCACTACCGGGTAAGAATACTATTTATAATCAAATATTAAGTGTAAAACGATATTTAAAGAATTAAAAAAAAGATACTTATGGATTCGCAACCAATTTGATTGAAGCAAAAACCAGATTTTCAATTAAAACTATATTAGTTAAGATAAATAACTATAATTTGTTATAACTTTTGTACTATGAATTTTTTTTTCATAGAAATCAATGTATTCAGGACGGTTTGGTTGGCTCCTTTTTTCTTCTCTCCAATCCTCTCGTGGTTGTATGGGCCGTTCCTAACCGAGAAGAGCATAGTCAAAGAGTCTGTTATCAAGTTTATCAATGAAGATCAGTCTAAATTCGACTTGGTGCTGTTCGAAAATTTCCTGCATGAGGCATATGTGGTATTGGGGCATAAGTATGGGGCACCTGTTATACAGATGTTGTCTATGGGTGCCAATTCCAAAGTGTCCCAATGGCATCGCAACCCAATTAATCCAGCTTACATACCGGATCAACAAACAGGCTTTGTACCTAAAATGAACATACTCCAGAGATCGTCGAATACGTTATCGGCCATTTTCAATACGTTCTTGGCTCAATATTTGTACTTGCCGTGGCAGCAGGCAATCGCCAACAGATACTTCGTGTATCCGGGATCCTGGAACAGACCACCTCTTGAAGACTTGTTGAGCAATGTTTCTCTGACGTTGTTAAACAATCACTTCATCATCGGATCGCCCACACCTTTAATCCCCAGTTTCATAAATGTAGCCGGCATGCACTGCCAAAAGCCAAAACGATTACCCAAGGTCAGTACTTCGTAAAGATTAAAAATGTATTCTAAATATTATTAGAACATTTTATATTATATTCTGATGAATCGTTAATCAATTTATGGGGCATTCATGCAACCCAGCATAAGTGTTAAAAATAAGTATAATATTAATCGTAGAACTTTATTAGGACTTAGAAGCGATCGTGGATGCATCCAAAGACGGCATAGTATACTTTAGTCTCGGGTCAAACATCAATTCGACAAATATGCCTTTAGCCGACATGTACACTATACTCTCTGAACTGAGTAAGATTAGACAGATCGTATTTTGGAAATGGGATAGTGACGCCAGACCAGACATACCTCCGAATGTCATTATTCGCAAGTGGTTCCCTCAAAACGATATACTGGGTGAGAATTTGATAATAAGTTTGGTGTTTTGTTTAAGTTGGTTTATTTGATTAATCATATTATGTCTCCACGGTCCATAGGTCATCCAAAATGCAAAATGTTCATAACACACGGTGGCATACACAGCGTCATCGAGGCCACTTATTTCGGAGTTCCCATGATAGCATTGTCGTTTGTGGGTGATCAAATCCATAACTCGAAGTATGTCCAATCCAGAGGATATGGCATTCACGTGCCGTACACTAAATTATCCGAGGCCACCTTTGGAGAGGCCGTCTTAAAACTCCTCCACGATCCTTTGTTAGTATTTTCTATAATTGTATTATAACTTTACTTATCTACTGCTTTGTTCGCATGTATTATTCCAGTAAACGGCACTACCATTAAATATTTTAACATTTTTACTGAAATGATTAATATAATCGACGTTTAAAATAGATATAATCGTGTTTGCATAACCATAATCTTTAATTAATAGCTACGACTTAAACTAGTTACATCGGTCACTATGAAAACATAAACTCGGTCATTAATTTTAATGTAGATAATCCAAAAGGTTGGAAAATAATGAGCATAAAAAAGTGTGTAATTATTATTTATAGCAGTTTTTACAAGGATTATAAATGTTTTCAAAAAATTAATATTGTTTAAATTAGTCTACATTATTTTATTAGTTGTCTAAATTTCAGTGCATTTAGTAGAACAAAAAAAAACAATAACATTAAAGAATTGTTTATATCTTGTTTTGTTTATTATTTTAGCTTTTATTAAAAGATATAGTTTTTTCACTATTAAATACCTGCATATGAGTACAGATAAGATTAGGAACCAAAGTTCATTATGGTCGTATGATTTATAAACTGTTGATAATATTATTTAAGTGAGTTTTTTGTTATCGTTAGGTACACCGAAAATGCTAAGAAGATATCTGCCATATTCAACGACAATCCTTTGACACCAAGAGAAAATGCTATCTACTGGATCGAATACGTGATAAGACACGGAGGAGCACCTCATCTTCAAACTTCTGCCAAAGAACTGAAGTGGTTTGAGTATTATTTGTTGGATGTCATATTTCTTTTAGAGATTGGTTTGTGTGTGGTGTCTTATTTCTGGTGCAAGGTGACTTATGCCTTCTTTAGTTTGTGCTGTTGCTGCTGGACGCCTAACGCACCAAGGCGGGTTGAAGAGTCGGAAGAAGAGTCGGACCAAGAGCCGGATCAAAAGCCCGATCAAGAGGAGGTTCAAGATGAGATTCAAGCGGAGGATGACAAAAAAAAAAATTAATTTCACTTCTTTTTAAAAACTATTCTTGGCGGCCACTTTTTTTTTTATATATATACTAAAACAAGTTTGTACTTCTTTATATCAAGGCTGTATTAATGGCAAGTAAAATCTCTACGATTATTTTGAAAACAAATCTATCATTAACTTATAAATAATATACAATTAACTTTTTTATTGTTTTGATTTGTCCTGCTTGTACAACTTTAATTGAAATAAATATAACTTACGCATCATAACGATTAATTAATAAAAAAAAATGTATTAGTGTAATATTTATAATTAGAAATTAAGGTGCATAATATGCGCTCTATGTTATTATCAATTATATTTGTAAGTAATCAACTTTTAATACATTTTCCAAGTAGTTTGCTGAAAAGGCTTTTTTTCTAATTTCTTCGTGTGACTATCAATTTTTCTTTTACTACAATATTAAAATAACTAATGTAATGTATTTCGTTGTATAATCTGTTGTGCTATGTCGTTACAATTAAAACATTATATTAGTTAACATGGTTTGTTGTTTATTACAATTGAAAAATTAGTCTTCATCCTAATTAAATACGAATAATCAAAATTGGGTAAAACTAAATTACAATTTACTATGGAATCACGGTTTAATAAAAAGCCATTGTTTGCTTTACACGCTAAGAGTTTACTAATTCGTATATTAATTATACTTATTATTTCTAAAATAAAATAGAACATTTTGGAGTCCACAAAATTACGTTGAAGTACTCGCCTTGTACTAATTAGACAAAAATTATATTTTTACCTGCCCTAAAGACTAATAATTTTCATAATACCGAGTAAGACTTTTTTTAAACTCTGAAATTAATTTACTTTTTTTTAATGATAAATTTTGGAAATTTCTTATGACATTTATTTTGGAAACCAACTGTGTCGTGCACGAAAAAAAATGATGTTTCCAAAAACATCAAGCTTCAGAAATAGCAATTGGTACTTAAAACTTTTTATCCAATCAAAGCTTATTAAACCACGTTTTGTTCAAAAACAAATAGATACCTAATGGTATAAATTATACAGGCCTTACTAATTAGAGGCTGCTAAGTTAATTAAAAATGAAGGGTACAGGGAAAGAAAAGTAGTAGTTCATTTATAAAATGTTTTTTAAAAAAAATAGTTTTTTCAATATATGCCATCACATATTTTTATTCATGTCAATAAATTGTTTAAATAAATACATTTTTAAGTAGAATAGTACTTAATGTGTTTTTTTTTGTTTTTTATGTAAGAAGGAGAAAAAACTCACGAACTTTGTTTTTAAAATTTTCATACATGGACTACTACTCTTCAAATGGTTAATGAAATATTGGAATGAATGTATATGAAATAATAGAAACATATATTAAGTTGATATACTTACAATTTGGTATTGTACTTGCCTAAAAAAATTCTAAAAATATATTTTTGGGGCTAATTTATAAATCAAATAATAACAATAAGGATAGTAATAATAAACATAGTAATTCATATTAAAGTAACAGAATATTTTTACAAAAAATACTAACGTAAAAATACATTTTTTAATAAAAAAAAACCTAACCAACCGATACCAATAGGCATACAAGTATCAAACGGATTTTATAATTATTTTTAATTTAACCTGAAGATACATAATTGATGTATTAATGTATTCAATAGTTAAGATCGATGATATTGTTTTTAAAAACAAGTATTTAGACAATTTGTCTAGTCGGAATGATTGAATTTCCAAATATATTGGTGCAGGCTCTTACTAGATAAAAAAAAGCGCAAATAGAAGATGGATCTTAATGTGTAAACAATAGAAAAAAAATTAGGCGTTTAGTTTTAATTGTTTTTGATTCTATGGAATTTCGATATATCGTCATTAATTAATATTTAAACATTTTTTTTTTTAAATATTTAGTATTGTGTTAATACTACTTATTAACTAAAAAAATTATCTAGATTTTTAGAGTATATATCACAATTTGATTTCAATAAAAAACCAGTGGGTTACTTAATATCCATAGGTTTTCAGGGATCAAGGGTGCCCACAGGGAGGAGCAGGGAGGACAACTCTCCCTCTAGATTATTTGCACGTTATAAAAATGTATTATCACGTTATCACAATTCTATAAGTGTAGAATTAGGCACATTTAGAGTGAATTCACAGCCTAGCTTGAGGTATCGTGGAGTACAGATTGATACTAAACGCCGGCTTATAGAACATGCGGAACTGGTCTCGAAGAAAGCCGCCCTCGCGGTGCGACAATTGGCGCTTATTATGCCTAACCTGCGCGGTCCCCGTGAAGGGAAGAAACAGTTTTTGGCGAGTGTGGTAAAAGGCAGATTGCTGTATGCAGTGCCGTTCTGGGGCCCAGGAAGGGCGTGGAAAATGCTGTGCTCGGTACAACGCACAATTGTGCTAAGGGTCTCATATGCGACGGCGAACATAGTATCGAGTATAATGCCATTTAATTTGATGGCGGAGGAGCGTATGCCAGTGTTTGCTGGGGCTGACAGGACCGAGGAGAGAGGAAGGGACATTAGGAAATGGTAGGTGGAATGGGACGTGGCAACCACTGGTAGATGGACACATCGATTGGTTAGGGACGTTGCAGCATGGCAGTCAAAAAGACACGGAGCGATGAACTTTCGCTCCTATCTGTTCAGGCATGGTAGGGAGGACAATGAGTCATGCGCTCAGCGCGGAACCAGATGATGAAAAAAAATCTGTTTGATGGCGGGAATTATTTTTTTACTTCTTTTGCGTATCCCTATTCTGATAAAAAAACAAGAAGTGCTGCCTCTTTTACCGTTTTTAGTGCTGTGAATGAATTCTGGATATTTAATAACTAGCACACAGTGTGAGAATAAACATTAATATTTTTTCTTTTAGAGATATGATAATTAAGTATTAAAATAATAGTTTTAGGATAGATATAGTATTAATATTAGACGTATTATTATAGGTTTAATAATAATTTCAGTTATTCAGTTTGAGTTAAAGATCTTGTGATTTTAAGAATATGAGTTTATAGGATAACCAGTCAGAACAAGACAAGTTCAATCTGGGTTTAAGGATATCTATTATAAGGATTAGTAGTTATAAATTATTCTTTAGAAAATAATACTACAGGAATTCTAAAAAAGTTGTTTAAATTAATATTTCCGTATTAAATATTTGTAAAATCCGTATTACAGGTACTACACAAATATACGTATATATTATAAAAATACGTAAAATATACAATATAACATAAAATGTATGTATTTAAATTTAATACGGCTTATAAAACGAACATAATCCTCAGTATAAAAATGATAAAGAATTATAGTCAATAATTAGAGTAAAATATGTTCTACGAAAATTTTTGGGTTTTCCGTTTACGGTTATTTTACATTCGGAAATAATATTTGGGTTCTAAAAATGTTTTAAATGATATTTCACAACAAAATACATATGTGTTATATGTTACAATATTCTACGGGTTTTTTATACACACTTAAAATATTACCACTGTTTTTAATTCAAGTGATTTGTTAGGGACGTTTTTCTACAGCATAGCCAGAACTAAGGTCGTACTTAAAAATAGTCTTGCAAATTTCAGCCTACACTGTAAACTTAATATTGAAATATATTAATTTAATCATGTCTCGTGGTCTTCAATTTAACGCAAACTTTTTTTTTAAATGTAGTCAATCTATATAGTTTGGCAACAGTATATATAATTAAACAACTTTTGTAGTACAAAAGATACGACGGGGTTCTTAGAAAACACATTTTGGAATTTAATATTAAACATTTAAGTTCGTGGAATCCAATATATATCACCATCATCATCCGCGTAACGCTATACTTCTTATATATATATATATATATATATATATATATATATATATATATATATATATATATACATATATACTATACATATATATACTACTTTATATATGTATTTATAAATTACTTACACCCCACTCATCTTGAAATCCGTCCCCCTGAGGGTTTTCCTTTTTGCTCACTGGTTCATACAATTTCGAACCCTCGGTATTAACCCTCTTTATGTACACCCTGTCGCCCATTTGCCCCTCCTTCTGTGTTATACACTAGCGAACAAAGGCACGGCCCTTACGATATTCATTTTGGAAACAGGCGACAGTCTATTCCGGTTTTTTCTCAGTAAATGTTCTGCTAAGAGGTTATTTAAACGTTTTTTTTTACGGTATAAACGGATAATTTATTTGCCGTTTTTCTAGGTTACAGTAAACAGCAGCCTTTTCATAGCAGTTACAAGCGAGTCGACTCAGCCAACATTTTAAAGCGGCGGCCGTTAATACAATATAATAACAGGTACCTTATGAATGATTTTAAAAATGTATTATTTTATAATAATAGGCTAGATTTTAGAGTGAATTCACGCTAGTGTATTTAATTTTAAAAAAAACGATTCGTGCAATATGATTTTGTCAGTACTAAACTATTACTGTTCTTCTGTTATTCTGTATTTATTATTTGAATACTATGGTTATTTTTAAACTATATGTTTACCTTACCGTCGAATTACATAGATTTTTGTTGGCATTGCAAATGTTTGAATTGCAATTGATGATGTTTATGTACCAGTTTATCATTTTTTTTACTGATAATTTATTTAAGATTAATCGGTCCAAATAGGTTTTTCAATTTAAAATTTATAATTTTTACAATTATGCAAGCTTATAGTATTACACAGAACTAGTGGGTTTTTTAGGAAAAAATAGTAGTAACAACTTTATTAGAAATAATCCCATTGTTTAACTAATTAATTGCAACTAAAATATCATTTTAACTTTTTCAAGGTGTCAGACTTAAAAGTTATTTAAGGTATAATGGTTATATTTTTTTTTTATCATTTGATGGATGAGAAAAGGGAAAAAGCGAAAATAAATAATGGAATTTTAGTAATTTTCCAAATAAGGGGGCCGCAGCATGCTTTTTACAAAAAAATGTTAAGTATCAAAAAAATAAAAAC